CAAGGCAGCCTGATCTTTCACCACCCTCACATCATTGCTGCAGCCTATGGTGTCAGGCCGCCTTTCTGAAGGGCTTCTTCTTCATCCTGACCCTCGACTTGACCAAGCAGGACTCCTTTCTTTTTTTTTTCTTCAAATTTATTTTATTATTTCTTTTTGTATATGTACCATCAAATTGGGCAGATATGGTGTTTAATAAGGAGATTGTGAGCCACTCTGGTTCTTTATTGTGCCACATTTAAAGTGCCACTTGTTAGATCATCCTTGGTCATAGAACAAGGACTAGTTGGTACAATGAAAAAACTTCCTGTTGAGGGTCATGAAAATAATTTACAATTTGAATATGATGATGGTTGCACAGCTCTGTAATCAATGGATTATATACTAAGTGGGTGATTTTATTTTGGCATGAAAACGATGCGTCGAAATCGTGTAAGAAAATCTCCTGGCAACACTCCTAGCACTTCCTTATCTGTATGCTTCCTCATCTGTACTGGTCTTCTTTGAATTCCCATTCTCCCCTCTACCTCTCTACAGCTCACCGCCATACACATAACTCCAGGAAGAAGCCTGGCTCATTGAGATTCTGTTTTATGTAAGATTTTTCTTACCCTTCCAACGTGCTTTGAATCTATTTAGTTGAAACTCTTCTTGAATTAGCAACCCACAAATGAAAATATAATAGAAGCAGAGGTACCCACCTTCAATAATATGTTTTCTTGACAACCCTCTTTCCGTTTCAGCTCTGCCAAGAAAAAGGAAGCAAATGACTTTCAGTGGGAGTGTACCTCCCCCCCTTCTTTTCTTTTTAAATAAATCTCTGTTCCAAAAGCACAGAAGAATAATAGTTCTTACTTAGACCAGATCGCTAATTTTATACCCTGCTCTCAGCAAACTCCATACTGAGTTTGGCTGAGGAGGGAAGTCTGGGAGGCAGCACACTGGGCCCCTTTTCTGTGTGATGCCAGGAGATGAATGAAACATAGACCATCACCTTTCTATCCTCCTCCTCATCGCTCAGCACCAGGCTTGCACTGTTGACTGTGCAGCCACTCACATCCCAGCCAGCAGTAATTTTAGACCTTATTCAACTTTCCCACCTTATTCTTTACCAATTTCAAGGGTAAAAAAAAATAGCCTTAGCATAGTTGCTATAGGTTTCCTTAGCTTTTCTGAGACAGGAAACAGATTGGAAAGTGTGTTTTGACCTTCAAAAGAAATTTAAAATGGTTTTTCTTTAGAATGTGAGGAACCAAGTCTTCTTTAAATTGGTTTCCCAGAAGACGTATCCTTCACCAGGGCTTTGCCCTCCCAGACCAATCTCAACTCTCAAGCTGGCTCTAGCCAGCTGGAAAGACAGATGGTCCATGAATTTGAACACACTGATGAATGGTTTCTCCAACTTTAGCATTTCAGGCAGACTCTTTTGTAAAACATAGTAGTTTTAAAAAAACAAACCCCAAACAAACAAACAAATAAACCAAAACCCCAAAACATAGTAGTTTACTGTTCATCTTGGATGATGCTGTGTCTTTTGCCCCTATATTAGATAATGTCACATGTGCCATAGTTCTTGCAAACAGCTTTGTTTCCTGTGTATTTTTAAACTACAGTCAAGGTTCTGAGTACTGCTGTGGATGATACGCAGCTGCCGTTGCCCTGTGAAAGGCAAGCACAGGGCAGGCCTTTTTCTCTTATAAGCACCACTTGCTTTGTCTAGTCTACACTAGAAATAAACATCTAAGCGCATCGTTCTTCGTATTTATTAGAGACAGGCTGAAAGCAACAGTATAACTGTGTGTATATACATATATACAGATTATCGGATTCCAAAAGGAGAACTGGCCCCGCCTCTTCCACTTTCCTAACTATTCTCCACCAATTATAGAAAGGTAAATACGATTTTTGTTAAAACTCCGACATTCTTTGATATTCCTGTGAAAAGCAGTACCAACAATCTCTCTGGTATTTGGAAGATAGATTGCTGTTTCCCTACATGTTTGTTAAAAAGGCTAAGCTTCTAAGCCTTCATGAATAATAGAACTAGCAGTTCAAACGCTGGCGGGCCGAGCAGAAGCCACGTTCCTCCTGTGAACTTGCTCCTGAATCCCCACCACGGGGAAGGGACTTCTCTCGCGTTCAGCTGACAGGGAGCCATGCAGGTAGCTTTGTGCTATCCTCCAACAAGATGGTCCTTTTGATCGGTCTCTTCAGAGCCTTCTGCAGAAATGATCAGAGAGACTCACTCGAGAGACTAGACAAGATATTTTTATCTTTCCATCTTTTAGGGATCTCTGAGTTTTGACAGATTTGAGTAACTTTTCTTCTAAATGCTTTCTGCTTATTCCCTTCTGAAATTTGAACTCTATTCTGGAAATGGGACCTAGTGTGAGGTTTCTATTAGAAACACAAATCATTTAGTAAGCAGTGACTACACAGTCTACAATAAATTTTTAGGGTTACAGCTTGCTAAAATGGCTAAAATAGCTGAACTGCTATTTCTTTAGCTTGGAAAAATAAAAACAGAAACCCTTTCTCCAAACCAATTAATATAGAAAGTTAGATACAAAATGGTTGCCCGGCAAGATAAAAAGCGTGAACTACTAATTGTCTCCTGTAAGGTAGAGAAATGAAAAGCATGCAACTTACTTTCCACCCCAGTAGAGTTTTGTTGTGATGACCAGGCTGGACCTCCTGTATGTCAAAGAGAAATACACACACACACACACGTAAATAAATTGCAGGCAAGTCCACTATAATATGTAATTACTATCAGTATTGTAGGGGGCACTGGTGGCTTAGTGGTAAGGAACTGCACTGCCAACCTAAAGGTACGCAGTTCTAATCCACCAGCTGCTCTCTGGTAGAAACATGGGCAGTCTCCTCCAGTGCAGTTTATTGCCTCTGAAAACCCACTGGAGGGTCAGCCATGAATCACTTCAGATTCGATGGTGCAGACCAATGACAACAACAGCAATTATTACAACATCAAGAAGCCCTGATGGCCTAGTGGGTAAGGAATTGTGCTGCCAACCCACAGTCAGGCATGTTCAAGCCTATCAGGTGCTCTGAGGGAGAAAAATGGAATATCTCTTCGTGTTCAGTTTGCAGCCTCTAAATCTCTGAGTGAGTTGGTTGTGACTCAACAGCAATTTATGATTAGTGTTTTAAATTTTTATTATTGTGTCTTGGATAAACATTTACAGAACAAAGCAGTTCTCCATTTGATAGTGTGTGCCCAAAGTATTCCATGATATTGGCTGCACTCCTCGGAGTGGCAGCCCCCTCCCCAATTCTGTCCTGAGCTCCAGGTTTCTCGCTCCTGAATTTTCTATCCTTGCCTGTCCTCTCATCTTTGTTTTTGGACGAATCATATAATTGACTATTTCAAAGAACATATTCCTTTCTGATGTTATTATTTATTCTATGGGTTTGTCTATTAATTGGCTGAAAGATGGTCTCTGGGGATGACTTCAGTTCAAAGCTATTTTATTATAGCACTAGAAAAAAATTCATTATTATATTTTGCATTAAAAGAACTAAGAGATAAAATCTGTCAACGAATCCATGTCACTGAAGTAAGGACAAGGGGGAACTGGAGAGGAAAGATATGAGGTCAGGTCCTCGTGGGGGGACGTGAACTTGCTGGAGATCCTGGGGGGTGGTGTCAGGGAGAGATGGATGGACAGATGGCCAGGGTGGAGGGGAATCAAGGATGGACGTGGAGGAGCAGGGACACTAAGTGGAAACACTTCCAATGGTGGATTGCTTTGGCAACCAAAAAAGACCAGAGCAGATCAAACCCAACCGATCTGTTCTTAATGTGTCAGTTTGACCTGGAAAGACCCTACTGGATATAGTGGGACTGCTTACTAGGGTTTCACAAGCCTCCCATACTTAAGGGAGCTCTAAGGGGGGGGCTCTGGTGGCTTAGTGGTAAGGAGTTGCACTGCCAGCCCAAAAATGCACGGTTGAGATCCCCCAGCTGCTCCATGTGAGAAAGATGGACAGTCAACTTCCATTCGACTAACTGCATCTGAAAGCCCTCTGGTGGGTCAGCTATGAGCCAGCCTGACTCGATGGCATGTAATTAACAGCAACAGCAACTCATGGGGAAGCCCACAGGGATCTGCACTGTGAAGCCCACAGCAGCTCTGCAAGAGAGAGATGGTGGCCTTCAACTTCCACAGCGGCCTCTGGAGGGCTCGCTGTGAGGTGGTTTCAACTGACAGCCTTGAAGCTTTGAATCTTTATGGAGACTGACTGATAATACTTCTCTCTCCCAGAGCGCCTGGTGTGTTCAAACCACTGACCTTATCACGTCTAGCATCCATGCACTTTAACCACTACGCCATCAGGCCTCCTGTTCATATGATCATATTATTGCTTCGACTACCAATCACACTTAGCATCTGGTACAATGTCTGTGCTGAGGGTGAGCTTTTTCATTTTCCTCCATCATGCACCCCAATAAAAACAGAAATGAAAACAAGACAAGACAAAACCGAACCTGTTACTGTGGCATTTTCATGGATGTAATATCTGTGGAAGACGATTGAAGACCTTTCTTATATGGTGTTACCAGATGGGTTTGAACCGCCAACCTTTAGGTTTGCAGCCAGTGCAGAAGTTCTTGCCACCTAGGGTACTATGGGCCCTAGTAGCTCTGAGCTCTAAGCTCTTCCAGCAAGAACTGATCACACGGTAATATTAATGATGAGGTAAGCTCTAACTAATTCCATTACATTTGGGACCAGCATACAGCTGATCCTTCGCTGGGTTTCCAAGGCTGTAAACAGCATGGGAGGAGACTGCCCTCTTTCTCCATTGGAACTGCTGGTTGATTAAAACTGCTAGAAAGGTGAAGACTTTGGGGCACCAGCACAACTCTATATGGACTGTGATACCAGATCTCTCTAACAGTCCATAAAATTAAGAATAAATAGGAATCAAATTTCTTTGAGTGTTCTCGTAAATGGAAATGTCATTTTAAGTAAATAGCTTTAATATTCTTAACTCAAATTCTACCAGCTGACTCCTAGGGAACTGAGATATTGAAATCTTGTCAGCACACTCACGTCCTTTTCAAAACCACATCCAAACACAGGAAAGGTAATCTTAGCATTGTTGTTGTGTGCCGACCCAGAGCTGACCCTCTGGTGGGTTTGCAGAAGCAGTTGATCGCACAGGAGGAGATTGCCCATCCTTCTGCAGAGCAGCTGGTGGATTTGAACCACTTGCTTTGGGATTACAGCACATCTTCTTGCCACTAGGCCACCAGGGCTCCTTATCTTAGCATTGTTGTTGTTGTTAAGTACTGCCATATTGAGTTATGACTCAGAGCAACCCTTTGAACAAAAGATCTGAACCCCGTTCTATAACTATTGTCGTTTCTCTAATGCTCTAATGTTCAGAGAGTTTCCAAAGGCTTGTTAAGAAGTGGCTGCCAATCCTGCTTCCAAGCCTGTTAATCTGGGAGCTCTACCAAATCTTGTCCACCATGGTTAAACATTATGGTATTTGACACATTAGTGGCACAGTGTTCAATATCACAGCAACCCCAAATTATCTCAGTACAGCAAACTGACAGAAAACTGCTCTACCACTTAAACTATGTTCTTCCCAAACACAATTAACAGTAGGCCCAAGAGCACAGGCGCAAGGACCTAACTGACTTTTACAAACAAAGGCCCACCCACCAAGTCCTGATTGACAAGAGGCTTCCAACCTAAAGCTGTTGACTAAATTCAGGTGACCAATCAGTTTACACACCATTGTCAATAAATAAAAAAGTTCACACTCAACTTTCAAGTAAATCATGAGAACCTACCCTCCAGATTCCAATTGTTTCACACATGAGCCTCCAAACTGGAGACTCAGGGCTCAGCTGACTTTTAAATACAAAAGCTTGCCCACCAGGTCCTGATTGACTGAGAGGCTTCCAGCCCAAGCTGATTCTTGACTAAATCCAGGTGACCAATCAGTTTACACATGATTGTCAACAAAACAAATTATGACTCAACAGTTGGATCATGGAATAAAAGAATATGTCCTGAGAACTATAGGCATCGAATGTAAAAGAGCAAAGCTCCACGCACTTCAGTTTCTCTAGGTATGTAAGTTGCTTGTACTGACCTAGAAAGAAAAGGTCATTTGCTATTCAAAGGTTAAGACCAAAACTCCAGAGGTATTTATTTAGAGGAAGGCATTTATAATTCCATCAGCTGTAGTGTAGATGCCTGGGCCCTTAAGGCATACAATCCTGATTAATGATAACCAGCAGGGGATAACTGTGACAATTCTGACAACCTGGCTTCAGAAGCAATTGAAGAAAATGTCAGCTCTCTCATCCCACTAGAGTTAATCCTCTGCAAAGTAATTTGAATCTGTGATGGCAGGTCTTAGGGCAGGTGCACTCAGAGATCGCACGCCCCACAAGGGATGACCAATTTTCCAGGTTCATCTATAAGCCTCGTGGTAGTTCTTGTAAACGCAATCTACTGCAATCGGGCCTCTTTTAGAAAACATTTTCAGAGCTTCCACAAAAGATTGGATGGAATATTTAAAAAAAAAGAAAAAAAAAGAATGCAGTCCTTTGGATTATTCAGAGCGTTCAGGCCTGCCAAGGTGCACCTTCTAGCTACACACTGCAGACTTGTGTTTTCAAAGCAGGCTTTTTCTCTGGCCTGCAGAGGTGAGCATGCTAACGTTTATGCTCAAATAGCCAGGGCTGACAGGCTCACCAATTGACTCGGAGGCTTCTCAAAGCAACTTGAGAGTAAGTAAAGAGTAACTTGGTTTGCACTGACACAACACAGCTTTCCAAATGCCTTTGCATACTTCACTTTATCAGTACAAAGCCTCATGAACAGTAATACTGTCCATCTTGCTGTTGTTGTGGGCTGTTGAGTCAGAACCAACCTACAGCCGACCCTCCATTGGGTTTTTCAGAGGCAGTAACTTGCATGGAAGCAGGAGTGGCATCCCCTTCCGTAAATAGCTCGCCGCCGGAAGCCCTATGAACCTGGAGAGAGGATGAAAGTCACGCAAGTGTTGAGGACTTTCGTTCATAGGGTCGCTCTGAGTCGTCTACGACTCCACAGCACACAACAACAGCAACAACAACTTGCATGGGAGGAGACTGCCCATGTTTGCCCTGCGGAGCAGCGGACGGATTTGTGCTTTTGGGAATGCAGCACCGTTTCTTACCACGAGACCATCTTATGGGGTGGGGGTAATTGAGACTCAGAAAGCTCCCATCTTATAGATGGGGAGCTGAGACTCAGAGAAAAGAAAGCACTTTTCTTTTCACATCCTCACAGTCTCATAGGGTGGAGGTTGCAGGAAGCGAGACAGGAAATGAGGCCATAGATCCTTATTTGTTTCTGTCTCTACAAGGAACTACTTTTCCGTTTCTGCAAGGTCTTGTGTTTCTCCCACATAGTCCTCCAGAGTGAGGAATGAGCCTCACAAACTCACTGGGACCAACTCGCAGCTGACCCTCTAGCAGGTTTTCAGAGGCTGTGTTAAGTCAATCTCACGAGATTGCCCATCTTTCTCTCCAGAGCGCCTGGTGGTTTCAAACCGCTAAGAGGTTCATGTTTGGGTTTGCAGGGCAGCTCCCTACAGACTAGCCGCTGGAGACCCTCAAGCAATGAGCAGCCATGATTATACAGGCAGCCCTGCTCCGCGCTTCCAGTTTCTCCTCCCAAAGGGAATTTAAGGGAAGTGTGGAAACAGTCCTTGTAAATGTCTATGCTTCCTAGACTATATTAACAAGGACACAAACCAGGACTGCCTGCTTGGGTATATGGAGGGCTGCCTGGGTGACCTCACTAGTATTTGACTGGCAGCTCAACGGCCTTTGTTGACTTTTTCCTAATTCTCTACATTTGATGGGTAAACGGTTTGTTAAATCTGACATACAGGCACAGATGACTAGAGGGATGTGGGTTCCCCTGACGCCCCCATCCCTCTGAGGTGCTACAGCACTTCTCGTTACCATTGGCTTTGCCCAAAGAAAGTGATAGGAAGCGACCTGCAAGCACATTCCCTCAAACGGAGCAGATGCCAAGACAACAGGGCCACAGGAGAAGCACCTGGGACCCTGTGCTAGTAAGAAATCATGGGGCTGTTCATCCCATGGGCTTCAGAGTTGTTAATAAACACACACACAAATTTGTGTGTGCAATTAATCAGCTTCCTGTCAGCCTGCTTCCTTCACCAAATTACCACTAACGGCAGTCAGAAGCCATGAAAATGCCACCATTTTTTATGTACAGATAGCTCACCCCCCACTTCCCTGCTGGACCCCACGGCAGTTCATTGTGAACGATGACTAAGATCATTTTTGAAGCACAAGTAATGAACTCACTGACATTTATTTTCAAACCGCTAAGTTATTTCCTTTCTTTCTTTGTTTCTTGACAGCCTTTCGACTGGGTGTGATATGATTTGTTTTCCCCTGCTCTGGTGCAATCCACTAACACTTTCATAGGAAGCACATTATTGGGGTGAATGCAGGTACCTCCAGCCTTTCTTCTTGATGATGCTTCCCAGAATCGCTTCAGCCCTGGAGGGGGAAACAGAAGAGGTCTTAGGATGCAGCATCCTGGGGAAGCGAGAGTCAAGCCGACCCGCCAGAGTCATTCCTTATTTGAACTCTCGGTTGCCTAGATCACCCGAAAATAGAAGCTGCTTGTGCAAGCTTCCGCCGTTTCTGCTTGTGCCTGAAGAACCCTGCTCCGGAGAGACCCAGAAGCACCTGCCAACCCTGATGTGCTGGCTGGCAGCAGAGCGCCTGCGGCCTGGCACTGAGAAACAGCCGGACCACGTGGCAGTGTGGCTGTGAATTACCTGGGTCCATATATAAATGTCCTGCTTGGTGAAAGCCAATGGAAGTCAGGGTTTCCCTTCTCAGTGCTGTGGCCTTCAGTCATGAAGCTGGGACAGTGAGACCATATACTGAGAATCGTGACTCCCAAGGGGGCTCGCAGGATAAAAGAAGAGTCTGTGTGTGGGTGTGAATGCCCCAAAGGCCAGGTCTGCAGATGCATGGCCCACATCTAGAGAAAGTCCTGGGTTCCAGTGACATTGTTTTAAGCTCTGTGATGTAGAGACAGGATAAAAGGAGACATGGAGAAGTCCCCTCCTGCCTGCGAGGCTGGGTAGAAAGCGGTACCGGGCCAGGCTTGCTGTTTTCGCCATGTCTACCTAGCCTCTCTGTGGTGGGATGGACCCAGGCTAGAAGGGACTAAAAGCCTCAAACTATTTCTCTCCAGGTAAGACCATCTCTGTGAAAAACAGCTGGACTTTTGGAGGGATTCATTTCAACTGGTACTTCTGTCCATCAGGATCTTATAGATGAGGGTCCCCATCAATCACTATGTGTATTAGCCAATGTTCTACCTTGTAGTGACCCGTGCACAACACGATTGAATGGGGACCCATCCTCTGGGCCCCAACCATCGTGCTCCGCAGTTTTCGCCCATCTTTGTCCAGAAGCTTCACTAAAATGTTCAGTATCATTACTGACATTTCTGATATATACTGCTTTTGTCAGCAGGGGGGTGGCTGTGCGAGGCAGCTTGGCTGGGACTCGAACTAGCTCTCTCAAATACAAGGTAAGAATTCTACCACAGACTCACCCCTGCCTCTGTCCGTGTGCACAGCCTGGCATAAAGCCACGACATGGATTGGCTACAGAGCATATCCACCAAAGGGACGTGTGTTGAATGTATAAGTGGTTCCTCTCCCCCTTTCTCTTTCTCTGCCTGTTGTTGCCTTTTGCAAACTCACATTCTACAGGAGACATTGATCTCAGTAACCCAGTGACAGTCAATCAGTGATCAATTAGAAGTGACTACGTTCACAATAGGAATAGAAACGGGGCTCTAAAACCAGACTTGTTCATCATGTGGCCCCCTTGGGTGCTGAGCAGAGTTCAACATTGTGGAAAGGAGCAGGGCTTTAGCAATTTCATTTTGTTCTCAGTCAAATAAATGTGGAGTTTGAATTTCCTTGATCACTCTGAAAAATAGGCGTGCCCTTGAGAAGCTGGAAAGCCAGGCACACTAGATGCACTTAGGGCAACAATGAACCTCAGTGACTTGGACAGTTTGGCTGTAATTATCACCTGGAAGAAGGTAAATTAGGCCTGCAGGTGAGTACGCGCCACAGTCCTGCCCACAGACTGTAGACCTGCTAAAACAACTGTCCAGTCCTTACGCTGCCTTAGGATCTGGAGGCTGTCCATCAGGTCCAAGGCAAGAGGCCAGGGAGGCCCCTTTCTCTTATGAAATGTGCCAAGACTTGGAGGCCGTGGACCTGAGGATTCCTGGCCTGTGCTCTGCTAAGCCCTGCCCAGAGACCCCGTGTTCCCGGGGAGATTACACGAGACCCAGCCAGCAAGAGTAACACAGCCTGCTTCAGCTCATTCTTCCTCAGGGTGGGAGCTGAAAGGCCCCTAAAGGAAAGAGAACTGGACTGCTGGGTATCTTTGGAGTACCCTTCTTTGATCGCTGATATACCTTTATCCCTAGGTGTAAGCCCATGTGAGCAAACAGGGAATGGAATCCTTGCTTCCCTGCAGAGAGCATGGCCCAGTTTCATTTGAGGCTTGAGGAACTATGAAATGTAGTTAGGAAACAGCGTGGCTAGCCTTTCATCATACTGGACTCTGCTCATTTGCTCTCTTATATGCAGCTAATGTTTATTGACCACCGCACTCCCCGCTCTGGTCCAGTCACATTTACCCCTCCTGTGGAACAGGACAATTGCTTCTGGCTCGAGTTCTCTCTAATTTTATCTTCATACAGGGACTGGAGGGAGGAAGAGTGGGTCCAAGATGGCCAATGTCCCTCTATCTAGGGAGAATGCAGAAGGGTGGGAGGGGAAACCTTGCAGCTGAGTGCGGAAGGGTCAGCTCTCTCACCAACACGTTGGAAGTGGTCTTAGAAGATTGTCTTGGTTCCACAAATGCCACAGAGGGACACAGACAGGTACCAACTTACTTTCCAGCTGCATAGACCTCGGCGGTGTCAAAGAGATTGACTCCACTTTCATAGGCGATGGTCATCAGCCGCTCAGCAACCTGCAATATGTGCACAGTTCAGATGAGACAAATGCTTTTTCAAACCTGGAACCACCTATGAATCTTACAGTAATTCTTAAAAAGAACATGTGTGTGTGTAAGGTTACACAACAAATTAGGTCCCCATGTGACAATTTCTACAGTGATTTTTCAGTGACATCAGTTAGATTTTCAACAACATGTCAAGTCTCTTTAGTTGCCTTCTGGTTGTTTCATTTCTGATGCTCTAGTTGCCCTGATATCTTTGCTTTAGAGTAACTGCAGATCTCATTTTGTGGTTGTTGTTGTTGTTGTGGACTGTTGAGTTAGGACTGACTCATAACAGACCCTCTGATAGGTTTTCAAAGGCAGGTAATAGCACGAGAGATTTCCCATCCTTTTCCCAGGGACAATCTTTATTTTGTGTGCTAATCTATTTCACTAAAGGAGACATTAGAGAATAGTGTCAGCTCACATTTTAAGGAATATCATAAACCTTAGAGAATCTTCTCAGATGGTTCAGTGCATCTTGAATAATCCTTCTCCTTCTCCTTCTCCTTCTCCTCCTCCTCCTTCTCCTCCTCCTCCCCCTCCTCCTCTTTTTCTTCTTGTGTTTTTTCCCCATTCACAGACACTGTATTTCACACATTTCTTCGTTCACGTTGGAGTCTAGAATTTTTAAGACTCCAAGTTTTGTTTCTCATTTTCTGATCAACAATCGATCGATCGATCACGCTCCGTCTACAGTGGCTCTGGCAAGTGTGGCGGGTGGGCGCCATCTTTTTCTTTTAGATTCACCTCTAAACATTCTTGATTTTCTTGCTAACGATGAAAAACGTAAACAGACTCAGCCAACGTCTCAGGTGGAAAGGCCCCATCATTTCCTTGAGACACTGTGATTGCGTCCATGCTCTGCTGGCAGCCGCCCAGCGACGTGGGCGTGCCTGTCTTCCTCACCGTGCAGGAGACAAGGCTGGACAGCGAGCTCGGTGGCATCGCCATCTCCCTGACAAACAGGGTCATTTGTATCAGCAGCGACTCTTCTCCTCTTCTGCCTTCTCTGAGCCAACAGTTGTTGGCAGTTGGGCGACTTCTGATTTAAAAGCTTGTGACTTTTTTCCCTTTCGGCTGAGCAGACTGTGCTGATGAACCAAAGGTTAGACAGAGCTGCAATGATTATAAAACTCCTGTCAAACAGATCAGCAGAATCGCAGGCACCCTGACAGAGCATCAGGCTGCACCGGCAGGACCAGGACGGAGCGAGCCTGCTGAGTCACCAGGGATCCAGCTCTCTGTGCAGCTGTGGGTGACTCTACCTCCTTCCTTTGTGCTGCTGAATGTGTGAGGCAGTGGAGAGACCTCGCTGTAGAGAGAGCTTGGGGGATGGTTATAGAAGGCTAGTCCCAACAGCCTGAGGGATGGTTATAGAGGGCTAGGACCTAACAACAGCCAAGAGGTGCCATTTAAAACACTTTTGCTGATAGACTTATTAGTCAGTGGGAAAATCACACACCTCACAAGTAATTAAAATTGATTTTTCCATCATGCTTATGATGTGAGCTCAAGTTGCATCATCAGCATTCTCAAGATAAAATACTTTTCTGCTGCTTTAAAGATTGGCCTCTCAAGAAAATTGTTGTTGTTATATGCCATCTAGTTGCCTGCATCTCATAGCAACCCAATACACATTAGCTCTGAAACCTGCCCTAAGCTGAGCCAACCTTATCATCTCCAACACACCTAATCCCATTACCCCAGTCACTCTCAATCCATCTCATCCAGTCTCCTCCCTCTCCTGGGCTATCCTTCCACCTTTCCAAGCATGATACCCCTCTCCAAGGGCTACTCCCTACAGGCCATGCACCCAAAGTATTTCAGATGGAGTGTCAAAATCCGTGTCTCCAGAGAGCAGACTGGTTTCATCTTCTCCAGGACAGACCTGCTTGTTTTCCTGGTGTTCCATGGTATATTCAACACTCTTCTTCAGCACCACAACTCAAAGGCATCTATCCTTCCTCTATTCTCCTTAGTTATTGTCCAGCTCTCTGATGCATAACAAGTAATTGTGAAGACAATGGCCTGGATCAGATTTACCTTAGTAAATTGTTAAACTAGAAAAATGGTATCCATATAGAACATTTAGAATAGGAGCAAGCAGGAAAAATAACATCACTAACTGGTTGTTGTTGTTGTGTACCATCAAGTCAGAACCCGCTGACCCGTTACACTGAACCGTTATGCTGACCCATTAATCTCACAGGAGGAGATTGCCCATCCTTCTCCCATAGAGAAACTGATGGATTCAAACCGCATGCCTTCAGGATTGCAGCACAGTTTCTTGCCACTCAGCCCCCAAAATACTACTTATCCTAAGTAAAGTTTAAAAATAAAGACAAGTGCTTGTCTTCCCATTTAATTGTCCTTTGTTTTGAAAATTATTGTGCATAAGTATTTTTGTGTTAGATAACATACTAATGAATTGTTAATGGGAATGTGCATAATTGTATCTTATCTAGAGTATAGTTTTAAGGTAAAATGGAAAATTTTGGATGTAGAGTTAGACTAGAGAGAGATTCCTGAAATATTTTCCAATAATGAAATTCAAACCTGAAAGGTGTGTGGAATAATAAACAAAACAAAACAAAACAAAATTACTGAGCTGGAGGACCTGGTTTCTGGTTTTAACGCTAACTTGTGAGAGAAATAAAATTGGGTAAATCCTTCGAGCTCTTTTAATTTCAGGTTCCTCATTTGTAGTAAAGGAATGACTCTATTCAGGTATCTTCTCCTTTCAGCCAATAGGCACGGATGCAGAGAAGCAGGCTTTCCCTTCGTCCAATGATGGACACGTGGGTTTCAGAATAGTGAGGTGGCCCATGCACTCATGGGCTAACAAGAATTAGAGAGAGATTTGTTAGGGACTTACGGAAAACTTCTTTGCTCTTACAGAGTTTCTAGAAGCAACACTCTCCTCCTGGAGTCACTATTCTGTGGTGTCTAGAATTCCTGCCGCATCTGATATAAAAAAGGATCTAGACAAGAGAGCAGCTGGGAATTGTGTGTGAGTGTGTGTGTGGTCACTGTTGAGTCAACCTTGCCCTTTATTCTATGTCAGTTCAACTCTGAGAGTCAAAATACACTTTCATTACAGACTAGGCCAATTGAAGTTGAATCTACTGATGCTTATAATTGAAGCCTCCTTAAACTACCTTACAGATGAGAAAATGTACACAAAACACTGAAAATGAAATGTTATAAGATGGTACTACAATAGTACCATTATTTTTCAAAAAGTCTTATTATTCATATTCTTTTGGGTTTATGATGTAGCAGGAATCATCTTTGGGAGGTATCTTATAGGGTTATCTATGAAGCGCTGGTGGCCTAGTGGTAAAAAGCTGTACTGCTGTCCATAGGAGAAGCCTGGGCAATCTCCTCCTCTATAATTAAGTTCCTCTGAAAAAATCCCCTAGAAGGTCAGGCATGGGTCAATTCTGACTTGATGACACACAACAACAACAACAACAACAACGACAATGGGCTATCTAGTTGGATGCTTGGACCCTGCTGATAATATCCCTGTTAACGTGATTATTTATCAGCTTGGATTTACCCAAGCGAAGCTGGCGGTTTCATCACTCACTCCATATGGTGTGGTCGTCCCAGTGGTTATTAGTTACTGTTGAGTGGGCTCAGGCTCATAGCAAGCCGACACACAGCAAAACAACACCCTGCCTAGTCCTCCCACATGGCCCTCACATCTCTGCTGCGCTCTCAGCCACTGTTGCAGCTCCTGTGTTAATTGATCTCATTGAAGGTTGTTGTTATTGTTGATTGCCATTGAATCGAGCACGACTCATAGCAACCCTATGAACAAAAGGCCTGAAGCCTTTCTATAATGATCATAGTTTATCAAAGTTCACAGAGTTTCCAGAGGCATGTTGTTTAGGAAGTGGATGCCATTCCTGCCTCCAAATTGACTCATTGTTGTTGTTGATTGCTGTCTATTCATATGAACAAAAGATCTAATGTCTTTCCATAATTGTTGTCATTTCTCCAAGTTCATCGAGTTTCCAGAGGCATGTGGTTTAGGAAGCGGATGCCACTCCTGCTTCCAAACCTGTTTTACATCTGGGAGCTCCACCAGACACTGTCCACAGTGGGAGACCATTATGCTATTTGATACCTCAGTGGCACAAGGTTCAGCATCACAGCAAACCCAGATTACCTCAGTACAGCAAACTAATGAAGAGTGAGGTACAAAGTAGAAGAATGTCCCTCCAAATATAATAACCACATTAGTCTCACTTAACATTGGTTAAGTGTTGTCAAGTCGAATATGACTCATAGTGACCCTATGAACAAAAGACCTCAACTCTTCTCTAATTAACATAATTTCTGTATGATTACAGAGTTTATACAGTTTCCAGAAGCATTGAAGCATTGAAGGTGATCATCCAAATACTCTCTGTTTTGCACCAGCACTGTATGATCTTATTTTAAATCAGAGATATCAGGAGAAAACTAGAGTAGTGAACTCATCGCTACTGGCAGCATGTTGGCCACATGGAAAGGGTGAGCTGGAACATTTGAAGGTGCTGTGTCACTGTGAGCCATTGTGCCTCTTCCTCCTCATGGCATCCCGTTCGCAGAGACCTGCAGAAGGCCGAAGCCGCGTCCTGCAATGCCACCAGCTTCCTGTCTGGTCTGCCCCTGGGGAGAGCGCCCTGCAGTCATGGCTGCTTCCGTGTGCATTTCTTATTTTTGAGATGATTTATACCACCTTTCAGCCTGGCACACCCTGGCCTGGGAAGCTGGGTTCCTTGTAGCCAAGAGCACACACCATTACGGGAAAAGTACAAAATTAAGGAAGAAGTGATAAGGTGACAGTTCTGCTCTGAAAGGGAAGATATTTTTGTCTTTTTATTTCTTCCCAAAGCCCAGTAAGCAGGGATAGCTCATACACATGATGGACACAGTCTTAATCTTAGATCTCTTTCTTTATTGTCACCAATTTTGTACCTGACTTGAAGGCTGTGGCTTCACGCTCTGGGGACCCACCTCTGTGCCTTTTCCACACTGTCTTCTCTGATGCCAGCCAGGAGCCTGGTAGCAGCCTCAGAACTGAAAAGCTGAGTTCCCTGGTTGCTGGCCCCCAGCTTTCAGCTGACAGCTCTTTCTAAAAATTGTTTTTGACTAAAGAGAACTTCCTAGTCCAAGGTTAGGTCTGCTTCCCGGGGCAAACTCTGTTCAGTGACTGAGGAGTACAGGAGATATAGTCCTCTGACTTAGGACAGATCTTCAGGGCCATCCCAGCGCCAGAGTTCTCCAGGGGGTCAGCGGAGGCTGCTGAGACAGCATCTCAACCCAGCTTCTCTGACTATCCAATGCCACTTCCCGTCTTGCCCACATTAAGTGTTGATAAGTGTCACGGTTAATATTGCAGGTCAATGGCAGCCATGATCTTTTTACTGTAATTATTCTATGTGCTGTACATTTTAAACTATATGATGTTAGTAAAGATGTTATCACCCTCACTTGATAAAGAGTAGGGTCTTGTCTGGGGTGTGGCCTGCATGATATTTAGGATTGAACGTTCTGGCAAAAAAGCTAGAGAGCCTTCAGTCAGATTTTAATCTACTTACTCTCTGGCTCATGGTCTTCAGATTTGAAACAGTGGCTTGGTGTACTTGACTTTGGACTTGCCAGTATCTAAAGCCAGCTCTCTGCTACCCTGTTTGCCGAAAATGATCTTTGGACCCTCAGCCTCCGAAGCGGGCAGCCTCCCAAGCCCCCAGCCGAGGCGCTGTCTGCGACCTACAGATGTGAGGCTTCCTCCACATTCCTGAGAGTCATTTCCTTGAGTGAAATCTGTCCCTCTCTACCTTTCTCTCACTCTCTACCTATCTAAGCTTCATTGGTGTTGTTTCTCGAGAAAACCCAGCCCATGACAATAGCATTCCTTAATAAATTTCCCAGTAAAGCTTCGCAGGAGGGAAGCAAGGCAGCACAACAGAGCTGATAAGCTTCGCCCTCTTGGCACCAGCAGCCAGGAAATTAAAAGACATATTGCCATGGGAAAGTCGGCTGTCAGGGACCTCTCCAAGGTACTGAAGAGCAATTGTGTCTCTCTGGAGACTAAGGTGCATCTGATAGAGGCTTTGCAAACCCCTGTTATGCATCAGAGAGTTGGACAATGAATGACTAGGGAGGATAGAAGGAGAATTGATGCCTTTGAGCTGTGGTGCTGGAGAAGAGTATTGAATGTACCATGGACTGCCAAGAAAAACAAACAGATTATCCTGGAGAGGGTTAAACCAGGCTGCTCCTTGGAGGCAAGGATTCTGAGGCTTCGTCTAACATACTTTGGTCATGTTGTAAGGAGAGACTAGTCCTTGGAGAGGGACATCATGCTTGGGAGGGTGGAGGGACAGTGCAGAAGGGGAAGGCTCTTTGTGAGGTGGATTGATTCAGTGATGGGGTAATCGGGATGGGAGTGTCAGAGACAGTGTGATTGACACAGGACAGAGCAGAGTTTAGGGCTGTTGTACATAGGGTCGCTATGAGTCGCAAATGACTTGACGGCACATAACAACAACAACAACAATAAATTTCCCATGTGCTAATCCACATCGCCCATGGACGGCCAACAGAACAAACAGGTGTGTCTTGGAAAAGGTGCAGCCAGAGTGCTTCTTGGAGGCAATGGTGGCCAAACTTCATCTCTCATATTTTGGGCATGTTGTTGGAAAAGACCATCTTGCTTGGAAGGGTGGAGGGTCAGTGAAAGGGAGGAAGACCTCCATCAAGATGGATTGACGCAGAGACTGAAGCAATGGGGTCAAGTGTGTCAGATATAGAGAAGACGGTACAGGACCGGACAGCGTCAGGGCTGTTGTTCCTGGGGTCGTGATGAGTTGCACTTGATGGCACCTAACAACCACCACCACCTCGATCTGAGTGTGCTTCTCAGGGAACCTAATGTACAACAAGGCCCCTGTGGTGACCTGTGTACGTTGCTGCTGAGAGGCACTTAGGCAGATAAGAATTTACAGTTCCAACCTTTGCCCCATGCTGTTCAATCACACTGGCGACTCTGTAAACTGTGGGGACGAGTCCTCATGGCCCTGGGCTTCTCCTCTGGGATGATAATTAGGGCTGTTCTGTCTCTGCCAGACACCACGCTAAGTGCTTGGCCAGCCTCGTCTCATTAATCTTCACTGTGATCCTGCTGAGTTCTTGCTCCTGCCTTCATTGTACTACTGACAGGGACACTGTCAGGAGACGTAAGTGCAGTTAGTGAATGGTGCAGCGGGGTCGGCTCCCCTCGGCGTGTGCCCTCCTCACGCTGACGCCCACCCTTCAGTGGAAGGACTGGGGAGACTCGAGGGCAATTATGACAACCAGGGCCTATGTAGCTCACGCATTCTATGAAAGCACGCTTTAAAAACGGCGAGGAAAAGATCCCTTTGATAAGCACTGTTTTGATGTGTACAGGATGATTTTCAACATTTCTTATCAAACATAATGGTTGTTAATACCATTGAGTGTGCTACAGCTCTTAGTGACTTGTGAGCAACAAACGTGAATCTTGTCCTGTCCTGTACCATCCTTACCAGTCTATGAATAATGACGGCAGGTGTCATGAATGGAGTGTCTGCTCCTTACAGGTCAGAGTGACATGCAAATATCTGACATGTGTCTGACATGATGTCAGTCCTTTCAACAGATCTCAAGCCGGGCATCATTATCCTGGAAACTGGCATTCTTATCCTGCAAACCTGACATTATTATCCTGGAATGAATGAGGCTGGAACAGCAGAGTGTCCGATGTCTCTGAGCCTCAGGCTCTGAGTGCCCAGGCAGGAATGAGAGGCTTACCACTGGCATGGGGGTTTTGGTGCTAAAATGAAGAACATTTTACACAAAATGGACACTTTGTTCATACTTTGTAAGATTACAAAGATGAAAACACACCCCAAACAATAACAACACTATTACATTTTAATAAAGACACTAAATATTCATTTCAAACTGTTGAATCTGACTCAAGGGCTTTTTGGTAGTCTCAATGTGAAAAATACATGATGAAACTGAAAATAATCTTTGAGAACATTTCAAACACGGCTCAGATTAAGACGTTATTCTTGTAAAATGTCAGTGATGCCAGGAGGAGCAGCTCTGCACACCTCCTCGAACCAGTACAGTGGAAGCCAGAAGGAACTTACCTCATCTGAAATCTGGCCTCCGAACGTTACCCACGTTCCTAGAAAAGAATAAATATTTGTACATTATTTACAATCATCTTCTACACGGTGCATAATGAGGGGAAACGTCTTACATCAGGGCTTCTTCAACCGTTTTCACAGGTAGTTCACTGTGAAGCAATTCCATGGGACCCTTCAGGCTCTTACTAAAAACCCCAGCATAGGCCAGCGTCCCACGGAATGACAGGTGCCTTTTCTTCATCCAAACGCCCCATGTGTGCTAATGACCACCCTGTCCCTAGTGGTATGGAATTGAACTGGTAACTCACAGATTTGTTTGTTTGTTTGTTTCCATTAAGTCAGAACTGACCTATAGCAGACCCTCTGACAGGTTTTCAGAGGCAGTTAATCACATGGGAGGAGACTGCCTGTTTTTCTCCTGTGGAGCAGCTTCTGGTCGCCTTGAACCACGTGCCTTTGGAATTACAGTGAAACTTCTTAGAGCCACTAGGCCACCAGAGCTCTAGTACATGGTTCAAATCCACCAGCTGCTTCAAGGGAAAAAGACTGTCAATTTCCTCCTATAAGATTCATTTCCTCTGAAAAGCTGCTGGAGGGTCAGCTATGGGTGGGTTCTAACTCAATGGCACACAACAACAACAACACTCCAGAATGGAAATCTCTGTTGGTTTTGGGGTATGGGTGAAGACAGCAGCTGGAGTGAAGACTGTTGGAACCAGTGGACAGCAGCTTAGACAGTAGCAAAAATAATTTGCATTTGTAAAACAAGAGAGAAGCACACACATTGAGCAGATTCCTGCCACTCGAATCTCCAACTCCCTCAACATGATTCACCAGAGGCATGAGACTCCAGTGACGAAGGAGTGAGATCAGTTCTTTCCTCGCAGAAGCTGAGAGTTACAATGCTGTATTATAGACACTAACAAGCAAAGCAGCAGAGAATGAGGCTCCTATGCTAGATTGGAGATGGCTGACTCTCAAATGGGCTTGATAAAAGAGAGGACACTTACGCGCACCCATGTTTATCACAGCTTTGTTCACAATAGCAAAGAGCTGGAAACAACCTAAGTGCCCATCAAAAAATGAATGGCTGGAGAAGCTGTGCTATATTCACACAATGGAACACTATGCAGCATTGAAAAACAAGGAACTCATGAAATATTATGCAAAATGGATGACCCTGGAGGACATTATGCTGAGTGAAATATCTCAGTCACAAAAGGACAAATATTGCATAGGGCCACTGTTGTAAAACGGGATTGACATCAGCATTGAGGGAAGACAGAGGAGGAGGAATGATGTGTACTGCATTGAAACAGATGAGGGAGAGAACTGTTTAATGGTGATATATGAATGGGTATTATTGTCATGACAGGAGTCCAGCGTGAAGGCTGCACAGTGCAGTGGACTTCGGGAGAGGGATTGCATAACAATGAAAGAGTTTTTCTTTTACTTTTCAAGGAGAAGAGTGAATTGGGGGGAGGGGTGGTCAGGGAGAGAGAAGTGCAACAAAGAATGACTGGAAACCCTAAGTCTCTGTAAATGATGAGGGAAAGAACAGATTAGAAGTGATATATGATTGAGTATTATGGTTAGCACAGGAGTCCAGAATTAAGGTTGCATAGAGAAGTGTACTCGGGGTGGGGGGTGGCGGGAAGGGACGTGGGAATTGTATACTAATGAAGGAATTTTTTTTTCTCTCTTCGGAGGGGGAAGCGA